GAAAAAGTGCCACGGGATTTTTGATATCTCGAACGGTTTGGCCGTGGCGAGGAAACGAAATTATGGCGAGAAACATGGAACAGGATGTGTGTTATAACTTCAGCATACATTAACTGATCTTGATGAAACTTCAGCAGTGTTTTCGCTGTAAGAGACCGATCACATGGATGTGACTATTGTGAGTCAAAGTTATAGCGCCACCAACTGGCAGCAGGAAGTGTGTCACTTTCAAAAATGCCGTGGCAACGAAAAACTTTAACATTATTTTTTGATGCTTTTGGGACTCTTAGCTTGCTTGAAATTGCTTGAAACTCAACAGATACATCACATTTATTAGCCAATAGACATGTGCAACTATGGCAAAAGATTAAAGTAATGTCAAAAAAGTAAACACTAAAAGCCTCATATCTTCTAAAAATGTAATTATACATCATTTGTTTCTAAATTAAATTATACAAATATTATAACTTCCCCAATTTTTCCTTTTTTTTCATTTAAGAATTGTGTTTACGTTCAAAAACAGCCAGAATTGTTGTAAAATTCATAAAAAATAATAATCTGAGTCATACGTAGTGCTATACTGCCCTCTTGTGTTCAATATCAGGTAGGCCTATTGTGTATATTCCCACCGGTTAATCAACGTGTGACTCCGCTGGGACTTGGGAGCTTTTAAATCGCTTACTTAAAACCGAAAGTCAAAATACGGATGTCCGCACAAGACATTAATGGTGTGGAGTAGAGCGAGCATTTTAAATAAATTTCTATTAAGTAGGATTGAACTAAACAGAAAGAATGTTCACTCTGTTCTGCTGGTTCCTCGCTGGTGGATCATATGATTACTTTGTCATAATCTATGACAAAAATGCTATTATAAACCATATTAATAATAGATAATACACATTGCTCTTATTTTTGAAAAATACATTCATGAAAAACAAGATAACAAAAATCATTAAAAAAAAATATAGCCATGGCTGCTATAAAGCAACATATAATTGAAAGGCAATTAATAATCTGTCATTACGTCACTGCATTATGATATTACGGCTCCAATACGGTGCAGCACAAAGCACTTATGTGCATCCCGAGCGGAGAATGATGTGCTTGAAGCCACATGAAGTTACAGCGCATTGAGTCCGTATTGAAAAGTTCAAAGCACAAAGGAAATACATATTTATGAACAGTGTATTATACATTATCTATCTATGCAATAGTTTATTGAGCCTTTTCTTTTAAAGGTTTTAAATTTCAGTTACTGTGTGCGTGAAGAACAATTATAGTGCTCTGACTCTAGTGTTGTGATCTAACCGACAGCGTCCGACACCCGGTAGAAAGTAACACGATTAAGTTACAGCAATAAAGTCCAGCAAGAAAAAGTTTCTTCATTCGAAAATATAGACCTTTAGACCTTTATCTTAAAGATCCAGTATAATAGGATTAACATTGAATCATTGAAGATCGTTTCATCATTGACTGTAACCGAATGTGACGTGCTGTTTGAATGCTGAATGGAGAATGACTGACAGGCGCAGAGAGGGAAAAGTTTGTGTTCTTGAATTTAATGACTTAAATATTAATTTCTATATCACATAATAGCTTCAGAACACTAATAATACAGTACACAAAAACTTTATGGTACTTTAGAAAGTTTTTGTGCCTTTGTGCCTAACAGAATAGTATATGCACAATATAGAATTTGAATCAGCCTCGTCAAAGATGGCAGTGTCAGAGCCGATACCGATCCTGAGTATCTAATCGGCGCACTTCTTTTCAACAGTCAAATTGAAATTGAAATTGCTTGAAACTCAACAGATACATCACATTTATTAGCCAGTAGACGTGCAAAGTTTCAGAAACGGGCAATGTGCAAGGACTAAATAGCGCCACCTTTTGACAAAAGTGGGGTTGTTAGTTTTATCTACAGTTACAAAAATCGGTATATACATTGTACTCCTCAAGCCGGACAACTTTCTAATACATAGTCATTAGCTCGGACCAAGAGGAAGTCAGATATTTTGGTTTGAATATGGTGAGCCTCTCTCTGAGCCTACGTCCCTGTATGGCAAGCCCTTTTAACATTTAAAAGCTAAGTTTGCCTGTCCGGAATTAACATTGTAGATATCAACAACGTCTTTCTGTCTATTCGTAATTACATTTTGGATAGTTTGTATTATCATTTAAGACATCTGTAACATAATTGTGACTAGTCGAAATGACAGAGTATGGCAAGCCGTTTTAACATTTAATCATAAAAGGGCCAAAGCCTTCGGCACCGCTACCCGGGTGCCTTTAGGTAACTAAAGGAACCGGGGTTGCGGTGCCACCGGCTTGGGCCCGCCATCGCTGCTCGCAGCTATATTTTTCATTTATTATTTATTTTTGTTGTTTTATTTTTTTTATCATTTTTTTAATTATTTTTTATTTCATTTATTATTATTGTTATTATTATTATCATCTATTTGATCATTTTTTTTATTTATTTTGTTTTATATATTTTTTAATTAATTGTATCTATTTGTTTATTTGTATTAATTTAATTTTTTATTATTATTATCAATCTATTTGTTTATTTATTTATTTTATATTTTATATTTTTATTTATTTATTTATTTATTTATTTATTTATCTATTTGTAGCTATTTATTTGTTTTGTTTTATTTTAATTTATTATTGTTATTATTATTATTTATATATTTATTTATTTATTTTTATTTATTTAATTTATTATTATTTATCTATTTGTTATTTATTACTATCATTAGCAGAGAGAAGCTCAAGTAGAAATACCAGTTCATCGAGAAGAAGAAAAGGAGGTTCTGGAAAAAACAAATCAATCAATGGATCAAGCGGCAAGAAGTGACGACCTGAAGAGACTACGATCCTCACTGGACCTGAACACACGAGCGGCGAAAGAGCAAATCTGTCATAAACACTTGAAGAGATGTAAAGCAGGGCGATAAACCTAGGACACGCTCCAAACCCTCGTACTACTTTCACTTTATTTTCAGAGCACTTGGAAGGACTTGTGGTACGCCAGGTTTAGTGTAACACACACTTTCTAATGGCACTGATGTGGATTTCATACGTCTGAAGTGTGTGAGCCAGTGAATGTTTGCAATGCAGCGTTATCTTCTGTTCTTATTATAAATATTGTTTACGCAGACCGAGCCCTGTCTTTAAAGTTTGCACATTTTCCTGCACTTCTTCTGCACTATGCTCATCAGGGTAAGAAGTTTTATGCAACATTTCATCATAAGCATAAAAACATAAGCTCCACTTTTTTAATATATGCACTTGTTTTAATGCAGTATGATCTTTTTCAGCCTTAAATTTGCTCTTTTAAATTAAAACTGTGTAGAAGGAGGGATATTTACAGTTAAGAGCTGTTGATTTATTTAAATATAATATGATTCAGCTTTTTTGGCAACATGAAAAAGTGTCATTTTTTTTCTCTGCATTTATAGTTTTCTTTTGTGGTAAGATTTATCATCATCATTCCTATGTGATTGCGGTCATGCATGAATGATTTTAGACCCATAATGTGTTTCATTGTGAGGCCTTTAAATGACTATGCATTTATGCAAATGTTTTGAAGTACTTTTAATGTTTGCAAAACCCACATTTAATGAAACCTGTTTCTAAAATACTTTGCAGGGATTTTGTGCTGTTCCTAGTCACGAGTGATTTTTTTTTCATGGGTTACTAATACTAAATGGTAACGATATGCTTGCTTATATTAAGGTATCACGTGTTTGTTTTTTTGCCTTATTTTATTTTTTTACATTTACATTTTTCATGGACCAAAATTGTGAGCAATACCCAAACTGTTAAACTATGTACCTGAAAAAAAAAAAAAACAACAACCAGCCATCCCCAAAATAACTAAAAATGTTTGTCAAACTTGAATCTGCCACAGCGGTATTCTCATATCTGGTGATTTCAATCCTTTAATGTGATCGAATGGAGCAATGAAGTGTGATTCCATATTTGTTTGAAAAATGTCATTTTTATCAGTGTGGTTGGAGAGTAAGAAATGTTATTTTTCACTTACTTTATTGTTGAGTAATATTTCCAAATAAAATACAGAATTGAGTGTATTTGCTTCTTAGTAATTGTATAGTTATTATTTGAGGTCCCAGTTTGAGGAAAAATGTGTTTTACCTTGTCATTTCAAAATAATGTGTTGAATTTTGTATATATTATATACACATTAATTATTTAAATCCAATTGGTTGAGTCTTTTTCCAATATGTTGACCCAGGAGCATGTTGAATCCGTTTCACCAAATATTTATGACTTAGTTACAAATTTGATATAAACTTAAAATTCACCCTACATTTTATTTTATGTCAATATAATTTTTTTAAATACTTTAAAAATGATATTTATTAATTTATCTATTGTTTATTTATTTTTGTTTTATTTCTAAATTATTAATTTAGCATTAATTTATTTTATCTATTTGTTATTCATTTAATGTATTATTATTTATCATTTTGGTATTTATTTTTATTGTCTTTTTAATTTTTATTTCGATTTTTTTATTTATGTTTATTAGACCTAGAAAGTAGAAATTCGTGTTCATCACAGAGAAGAGAAAAAAAAACATTTCAGAACTAATATCACCCTTCTTCATAATTTATCCACCATGCCATTAAAGAAATAAATGTAATAACAATATAATAATTATTATTAGGCTATTAGTATCTCTTAATGACTAAAGTCTGATTTAACTCAATACACGTTTGAGCTATAACACGTGTAGTTTATCTTGTTGAATAAAACAAGTCTCTTCGCGTAATGTTTACCACAGACTTTTTTTTCCCGTTTTTTACTCATTTCCGCCTAAAAACCCCAAAACATTCCCGAACCCACGATAAGTTGTCCTACAAACTGACGTCAATATCGAACGCATTTGTGTTTATCCGAACTCCATTTCCCACAAACCCCAGCGCCGAAGTGGCTGACGGTATATTGGAGAGCTGCGCTGTGACAGCGGAGCGCTACTGAGCAGACTCAATCTAGTTAGCCATGGCGGCGACAGGAGGAGGGAAAATCAGATCAAGAAGATATCACATCGCTTCAAAACCGTATGCCAAAGGCAAACAGGTAAATAAAACGAAGCCCTAGTCGCCATGACAAGGATTTTAGAAGATGTTAGCTTTAGCCGGACCGGTGGTTTAGCGGCGGGCTTTGGTTTTTGTAAACAGGAGGCATTTTGAGGCCTGTTTCAGGCCTGTTCACGTTCCCTCAGCAAACGGTCTCAACGCTGTCACCGCAAACCCGTTAGCAGCTAATTAATTTGACTGAATACACACAGCCCTTCCGCGTGGAAAATACTCGAAAATGTGGCGTTAGAGAGGCGAAATTTGAATGTATTTCACTAATTTCAAACAACCGCGTGAACGTGTTTCAAACACAACACGTTAACTTAGCCGTTAGCTGGTGCTCGCACCGGCGTCAAACAGGAGTGCGTACATTTTAACAAATCTAAGAGCATTTAAACAGCATTTTATTATAGTAACCCTCTAAATAAATTGTTCTATATACTCCGACGTGTATGTCTCCATTTAACATTATATGTGCCCTAAGGATACACATGAGGGTAACTTGGGGTTCAGACTCAGAGCACGTTCGTCCTTTTTCTTTACTTCTGTTTCATGTCTAAGTCGAGAGATGAATTGGATATGATTGGCGAGTCTGATGCTTGTTTGTGTAAATGTGTAAAGCACAGGTTGATGTTAATGCACTGGGTTTGTCATCATGATGAAAGGCGGGATGAATGTGCGTGTCGTGACGTGTTTTCAGAGGGATCTAAACCTCACACACAGGAAACCCTTAAAGGGAAAGTTCACCCTAAAATGATCCCATACTTGACTCGCACTCAAGCCATCCTAGCTAGGTGTGTATGACTTCCTTATTTCAGCCAAACACAATAAAGTTATATTAAAAAATAGTCTGGCTCCTTTAAGCTTTATAATAGGAGTGAATGGTACCTGAGATTTTGAAGCTCAAAAAAAACATCCATCATAATAGTAATCCATACTGCTACTGGAGGTTAATGAAGCAAAGAGATGCGTTTTTTTTTTTGTTGTTGAAAAAATATCTATATTATAACTTTAGAAACCATAATGGCCGAATGCAAGAGTGACCCCTGACACGACGGAGGACATATTGATGAACGCGGAAGTGCAGAGGATCGAGCGAAAACACCGGTAATGGATTGGAAGTCTAAAATGAGAGTTTTTAAAGAGAAATGTTGGAGTTTGAGTTTCTAATCCCACCAGAGGTTATGCCACTCATATGCATCGGGTCAGAGGTCACTCTTCCACCAGAACTACACTCATGCACGGCCTTTACGGGAAGCCAGTGATTATAGTTTATAAAGTTATACATATGGATGTTTTTCTTACAGAAACATACGACTTTGCTTTAGAATGCCTTTATTAACTCCCTGAAGCTGTATGGATTACTGTTATGATTAGGGGTGCAACGGATCAAAAAACTCACGGATCGGATCATTTTTCGGATCAGCAAAAAAATAAAAGACAAGACAAATAAACATAGGTTTTGTCTTTTTGATTATTAACACTTTTAAATTGTGAGCGGTGAGAGCTATATGTGACGATAACGGTTATCGTCACATAGCTCCGTTCCCCTAGAAGTCCACCTGTCTGTCGTGAGCGCAACAGATGCTCGGGATAGTTCATCCACAACAGTTCATGTCATAACGTGGCTCAAGTACTTTCAGTATGTGTTTAAAGCCCTCGTTTTGCACAACCGAATATGGCCTCATGTCTGCAGCTATAAACACACCGATAGCATTTGTGATGGCTTTAGCCCGGTCTGATTACGCAACTAGGGGCTGCTTAAATGCCGCGGTGGTACGTCTCGGTTTTATCTACTAACCTCTTTCCTTCATGTCATATTTGATGGAAAATCCAAAATGGTCATATACAGGTGATTTAAATGATGCGGGGCGTTCAAGCTTCTCCGTTCCTCCGCTCGCTATGACGAAACTGTGTGTTGACTGAACAACATGCGACTTTTTTTTTTTTTCATAATCAATCCGCGGATCACGTGTGTGCCAAACCGAAGACATTGATCCGAACGAATCACGGATCAATGATGATCCGTTGCACCACTAGTTATGATGGATGGATGTGCTGCTTTGGGCTTCAAAATTACAGGTAGCATTTACTCCCATTATAAAGCTGGAAAGAGTCAGGATATTTTTAATACATCTCCCGATTGTGTTTGGCTGAAATAAGGTTGTATGCTCTGAGGATGGTTTGAATAAATTATTGGATGATTTGAATTTTTGGGTGAACTATCCCTTTAAACAGGGAAATACAAACACACTATTTTCTGTTGTCACATTGTGCATCGTTTACACCTTGTTTCTCTGCTTGCCAACTTCGCATAAACTGCACAAACTATAGTTTCATAGAATCCAGTAAGGTAGTGGCTACTTTTTCCCTCCACAAATTTACGATAAATGTAAAAGGGAAAGTGCTTATTTCACATGCCTTTCAGGATTTAATTTGTTCCCTTTCATTCTAAATATTCCTGTGTTTTTACATATTCATTTATTTTAAATCTTCCACGTTGCCCCTCACTTTATATAAGGGGATAAAACGGCATACGTGTATAATAATGATTTAAAACAATGCCGTTTAATTATCACAAGCTGCAGGACAACTTTCCCAAAGCATGTCATGTCAGCTTGCAGGCATGTTTACTAGATTAATGGCATCATAAAGTGGAAGTATACATTTTTTGTAAACAAATTTTTGCATTATTGATGGGATTGTATTTGCACACTGTTGACTGTTGCAATTAGGGATGTCAATGATTAATCGACGATCGATTAATTGTCGATAATACATTTAATCGATAAAACTTATCGATCATTGATTAAGCATGCGCGTGCGTGTTCATGTGCTCGTGCTGCTCAACCGCGAAAGATGTAAGCTAGCGCGCCGGAGTTATGTTTGGGACTATTTTACACCTTCATCATGACAATAAGTTGGCGTGTGCATTCGCAGCCTTTTATTTTGTGCAAATGTAAGTTGTAATAGTTTATTTTGTGTACGCCTATCTATATCTGCTTTATCATCTCATATTGGATGTATTTGGTTAAGAATTGACGCTAATAAAGCATGATGATCTTTGTCCGCGCTGCTCAAGCGTCGATGCACGACTAATAATGACTATTGGGACGGTCATAATACATAACATTATAAAGATAACAATATTGTAATAAAACATCGTGAATTATTTGGGTTGAGTTGAGTTTAAAAAACTTGTAATAATTTGGTGAGGAACATAGCGTTTTGAGCAGCATTTGCAGACCCTGTTCTGCTGTTGGCCATATGACACTGCTGCAACGCCTGCAATATGCGTCGCTGCAGTTTTATTAAGGCTAACGATTAATCAATTAATTGATTGTTAATTTGAACGATGATCGATCATGGGAATTTTTGAACATTGACATCTCTAGTTGCAATGCCTGAGGCCCCATCCGTGTGCATTAGCTGGTTTCATGTTCATGCCGTTTATCCTTATGTAGTCTTCATGATCGCAGAGTGAGGCGGCAAGATAAATTACTCTCTTGCTCTGGCCTATAGTTAAATCAAAAGTTGCTTTGAGCATTAAAGCCCTTCCATTTTGATTGCGCAATCTCTCCCGGCTCTTCTGCTGAGGCTAATTGGGCTGTTTAGCTTCCCCACCTGCCCGTGGGTCACATGCTTACAGCGTTCAGCCAAAGATCCAGTCTGTGGTGTTGCTGTGTCCAAACCCTGGAGCTCTGTTAGAGAACAATAAGTGCTTGCACAGTGATTTGGTCCCCAGGGCCCCTTTTAGACGGCAACTGACTCTCTCAAATCCAGGCGTTCTCTAGCCTTGGGGCCACTCTGCTTTTCCAGTGTGAAAAATGAACTGGACTTGTCCTGTTAAATTATGAATCAAAATTAAGCATATTTTTTGTATGACTTGGCTTCATGCTTACTTGTAGTGAAGTTGAAGGCAATGTGATTGTGAACTTGTTTTTACTTTCGAGGTTTAAGAGCTTAAGCAGTTCTGACTGTTCAGTGCTAGTCTAAATCCAAAAGGTTTAGGATTACAATTAAGGGTGATATGTGTTACCTTTTGATTTATCATCATAATGTGCATCTGTTTGAAACAAGCCGCATAATTTGAGTTGAACTTCCTTTAGTCAAAACTATGCATTGCTACTTAAATGTAATAAAATGAATCTTGAAAATGAACTGATTAAGCATCCACCAATATAAAAAATTTGGCAGATACTGATAGGGCTGGGTACAGAGTTCGATACTTTTTAGGAACCGACCGAATAGTGTTAATTTCGTTAACGAAAACTAAACGAAAATATTTTCGTCAACGCACATTTTTCACCGAACGAAAACTAGACGAGACGAGACTAAAATCCCGACTAATAAACAATAACTGGGACTAAATCAGAAATAATTTTCGTAGACTAATAAAGACGAGACGAAAATGCAGTTCGGTAAATAAAGACTGGGCTAAAATCTATGGACATTTTAGTTCACGAACAAAGACGAGACGAAAATGACATATTATTATATGATATGGTTTTGTCAAATCCCGTCTCCTCCTCCGCCTCCTCCTCGTCAGCTCTTCCGCCACACACACCCACGTTCAAACCTGGAGCGGGCGGGCACAGTCAGAATAGCCTACACAACACATGAGCAGACAGGAGCTGGATTCACGGTGAGGCGGCGGCGACAGGTTAAAAGTAAAACATGCTTTGCACGGGGCTCGGGAGAAAGAAGAGACGTGATATATGGACACATTTTGATGATAAACTAACTAATGATGGCTAACTTTCATAGCATTTAGTATCCAGGCTGGCTATGTTGCGTTAGCTTCTTAGCACGTAGCGACCGTAGCCAGTTGTTGATAGAATTGTATGTGAAGTTAAATTTATGCTAACTTAGATATGTTATACTGGCCGGGCAACTATAGTTCCAGTTACATTTGATTAAAGCAGACAGACGCTTTAAAAATATTAGTTAAAAAGATTTCATACGTTCTAGCAATCTATGCCTTGTTTCACCTTAAATACTGTACCTTTATATACCATGTGAACTAGCTGGCAGGAAAGCACTTTTGTTGTATCAGTTGGAGTTTTTTTTTTTTTTCACAACATTGACCTCAAATCTATTTATTTTATTATTCTATGTGAACTAGCTTTAAACAGCCAGCACTTGTGTTAAGTTCATAATACACTTTATTTTATTTATTTGTTTCCTTTGTCAGGTGTATTTTATTTGTTTTAATGCAAGCATTTGTGTTTGTGTCTTTGAACCTTAACAATGTTCAAAATAAATATGCAAATATTGTCAGAACATCTTCCATGTCTGCATGTGTTCCTTAAAATTGTGTTTTTTTATCAAAAAGATGAGAGAAAATGTTGAAATGTGAAATAATTTTAGGAAATGTTAAATATTATCTGCATGCTGACAAAAAAGTAAAAGGTTAAAATGATGTCCTGACTAAAACTAGACTAAAATGTTGACAGTTTTTTTTTTGACTAAAACTAAACGAATAAAATTATGTTTTCTTGGACTAAAATAAAGACTAAAATGCTCGACTTATAGTCGACTAAAACTAGACTAAATAAAAATGGGATGATGTCGACTAAATGTGATAAAAACTAACAAGCGATGCTGAAACTGGACTAAAACTGAAACTAAATTTAAAAATGGCTGGTAAAATTAACACTACGACCGAATTGCCTTGATACTATCAAGTATCGAAAAATGACTTGTTCGGTACCATATTTCGATTACCTAAGGGGTTAACTCGTTAAATCAGTACTCAAACAAATAAATATGAAATGCACAACAACACAAAATCCAAAATATATATATATGTTCCTTTATGCACTGGCTAAGGAGCATGAGTCAAACTAAAAAACAAAACAAACAAACAAAGGTTTTCTGAGGTAATGTGTTATGTAATCTTGTTAAAATGGATTTGATAAAATTGGTATCGAAAAAAAGTATCATTCAGGAACCGGTATCGAAATCAAGGTATTGGTATCAAAATGTTTTAAACGATACCCAGCCCTAGATACTGATAATTATTTATATTTGAAAGAATTTTTATATAATTTTGAAAGCCTGATTTCAAAACTAAGTCTAACCATTAAAAGCCGTGTCCCAAGCACACAATGTTCTCATTATAATTTTATGTAGTCAATATTACAGATTATGCGCTGCACATGTGGCACTTAACTGTATTTTCTTTTTTTTTAAGTGATTCCAATCATATTTCAGCAAATTCAAAACCGTCATAGCAGACATGTGCACATCTAAAGTGTCTCAGCTGGAAGAAACAATCCGTTATTTATCGGCTTTAATGTAACGGCCAAATTATCTTATCGGGCGTATTTGGTGATATCGTGCATCCCTTATACTGATGCTTTGAGGCCCCTGTCAGATCTGCATTATTCATTAATTTAAAGGTATTGCTCTCGCTCTTTTGTGGCTTCTGGGTGTGCTAATTGTCTCTTTGGCCCCTGCAGCAGCCTGGCCTGATCACTCGAGTGACAGACACAGTGAAGAGCATAGTCCCCTCCTGGCTGCAGAAATACTTCAAAAATGGAGAAGTTGCAGAGGGTGATGGCGCTGCAGTCGGGATTGAGCAGAACAATGTGGCTCCTCCACCCAATGGCAACGATGAAGCCGTCCCACTCCCTGATGGACGAGACTCTCCAGAGCCTAACACAGGTATGATGAAAACACGTTATCCTGCAGATATGCATGGGTTCATTTCCAAAACCTAGTGATCTGTCTATACAGTATACACGCACTAGGGCTGTCACTTTTGTGAAAAAAAATACTGTTTCATTTCAGACATAAGTGTTCATTGAATCGATCGTCTAAAGACGCTTCCATTTTCAACACCAAATATAGGCAAATCCACTGACACCTAACAGGCATTAGGACAAGCGTAAAGAGGGCGCTTGAGACACGCACAAGTCTGCAATATTTCTGATGATTTATTGGTGTGAAGTTTTGTGCACAATGACAAACAGGAGTAATGCGGATAAAATGCGGATAAAAATTAACTTTGCTGGGAAATGTTGTCAATCAAGGGCCAATTTGGCGTGTTTCTTTGTTTACTCGCTTTGCTGGGGAAGTTCATGTAAGCCAAATCTGCACGGATTTAGCGCAAATACGCAACTCGTGAGTCCTCATGATATATTAAGGGGTCATGATCTGGCTTTTTAAATTTTATTATATTGTTATCTGAGGTGAACTTATGACGTTCGCTTGGTTTTTGCATTCAAAAACATCAAAATGAATAAGTAATAGGCTATTTTCTACCCTAGTTTTGAGCCCAGCTCAGAAACGCTCTTTTTATGGGCGTCTCGCACTGAAGACTTGGAAGTAAATGCCCACTGCTGCGAGTGGATAACAGTTTTGCATATAATGAGTTTCAACTCACCAGTCGATGCACTTGGGGGAAATTGTTTTGAAAACGTCCAATGTTGTAAAATGGCAACCGGGAATGATTCGCCCATACATGTTCGACCCAGAGTCCGTGTGTTGCACAGTTCCTTTCAGATCTAATATAGACGACACAGCACCGTTCTTAAATCTTAATCGGTCTGCAAATCTTGTTTATAAAACAATCCTCAGTAAAATGAAGCAAACAGATGACGATGTTTTACCCTCATCAGCTGGAACGTCTTTAAAAATAAAGTTTATCCATGCAGTCCTATTGGAATCCAGAGGAAGCTTATGCAGCGACTGTCTTCTTCCACAACCAGGCACTACATAATATTAATTGCTCGGTAGCTGTATCCGGTTTGTCATCACGAGGTAGGCTCTATGTTATTTAGCTATGCATGTAATGTGCGAATCGGTGGGCGGGGCTAAACTGTGTTGAAGTAGGCGTTGATCATCTTCTGCGGGGGTGGGGTTTTATCCTCTTTGATGTCATAGTTCCCCACTTTGAAAAACAAGTCGTTTGCTGAGCCTAGTGTCAATAAAAGCTTTTATTGGGCTAACAAGGATGTTTTCAGCTCTGAAACTTACAGAATATTCTTTAGGGCTGAACGATTATGGAAAATAAGTTAAAGGTGGAATACCTAAGATTTTTGCATTCAGATATCCCAAAATCACAAGGCTAGTGTTAAATATTTAGTTATGATGATAACTCACAATATTCCAAATGTTTCAAACAATGTTTAAATCGCGAGAAAATTGAGATTTTAACCAAGGAAACGGGGCGTATGAGCAGGGGTGAGCTGGGAGTCGCCAGTCAATCGCGTCATATCCGCTTACCTCGGTTTCCGCTCGTACTACGTGTAGTCCTTGACAAATGCGGTAGTTGTAGTTGTGCGTTAGCGTCTATCAAGCAACAAACATCAGCTTGTTTCACGCATTTGTTATGGAATGGAGCACAATTATTCTTTTCATTTTCATATTCTTTTCATTGGAGTTGAAAACAAAAGTTCCCATCATTCCGCGTTCCTCCACGTCGTCATCAAGCAAAGCCGTTGTTGTTGTTTTGAATGTAGCGCCCTCTAGTGGCATCTAAATCTTAGGTATTGCAGCTTTAATTGTGATTTTTTTTTTTTTTTTTTTTTTAACCAATATTGCGATTTAAAAAAAAAGTTCTTTACCTTCTGTATTAGTCGACAAAGGCAAGCAATAAATCATTGTACAGTAGGGATGGGAATCTTTAGGCAGTTCATGATCCAATCTACTTTTTTTCTTATTAATTAATCTTAATAACACTTAAAATATATATTTAATTACATGTGTAAAAAGACATTCTTTAAAAAAATATAATAAAAAAAACACATTAAATTAAACCAATTACATGTTAAGAATTTTAAGGGCTATATAAAATAATATAGCTTCAAAGTATAAAAGCTAGTAAATAAAGAGAAACAAAAAAAGCATTACAAGCAATAAACAAAGGGTGTGCTCACTACTTAAAAGTAGGCTGTCTGAATGTTTTTCATTCAAGAGCTGGAGTGATTTTCCCCCTCAGTTTATATATGATAAGCTGCATTCGCACTAATGCACATATCTCTTTTGAAATTGTAAATGTGGTTTGTCCTGTTGGTTTAAGATATAACTGACCGTGTTTACATTAATTTCGTGTCATAAACCAATGAGTCGCTCATAGCTGCATGCACGAGTGCTCTTCACAAAGCGTGCGTTAGTATTTTCAACACAGGCGTCTCATATTTTTGGTCTCGGCAGGCTATTTCCGTCGTTGTTTTATCCAAAATATGGTTAAACGTTGTGCCTCGGGCATTTGTAACACAGATACACATTTCCCAGAGAGGTTGGAGGGGGATGTCCGTTTTTTCCCTTCCCAAAACCGAAGTAAAATCCTGACAAGTGTCATCTTTGGAAACTGTGTGGATGTCCTCAGTCAGCTAAACCCCGCAAAGATCAACAAGCACATCTTTTTTTACTTCTAACCTTACTGTGAGTGTGAAGTTGTACTAGTTGGACCGTTTTATAATGTTTTAGGTTATGATTTCAGTTCTCATACCAGTTGTTGATGCGCTAGCACACGCTGCTAATAAATACAACGTTATACTCGTGTAGTCCGTTTGCTTTGTAATAACGATTATAGAAGTGGATAGAGACCTACCCAGCTTGGCATGAACAGTGTTGCTCCCTGATATTGTTAGTCCCAGCCTCCGTCTCGATTAGTAGGAAATGCAGTGGTTCATTTTTTGACTGACTGGTAACGTTATGCTTTTGCCTCTATTTTGGATGCCTTGTTGTTTCTTGCGTTTCACTTGTATGTCACAGTTTAGAGGAGTGCACGTTCGTAATGGGAATGGCATTAAGTTACTTGATAACAACATTTCATAGGCTATATCAATATCATTACGAATAGAAATAACCTTAAATAATGTATAGTTATCCGCATCGTTCCTTCTCTTATAGTTATTTTTTTAAAACATGAAAATCGCATTCAGCATGAATGAACATCCTGCTTGTTAAAACGAATCCTGTTTCTGAGGCAAAATTACTAAATATGCAGCTCGCGCTTATATATTTTTTTAACTCCAAACAATTGCCTACTGAACCAGTTGATAATCTTCCTTTGATTCGATCCGTGATTACAACTTCACTCTCAAATTAATCGATCGCATTTTGTTGATGTAAAAGACGCGCGCGTGCTCTGAGAGGGAGCGCGCGGTGTTCGACGCACTGTTATAAGGTGTGTATAATTTAAACTACTTAGTCAACACTAACAGTACCTGCGGTTTGGTTTTCATATTGCTGATCTCCTTCTTGTCACTTCTGAACTGACGGGTTGCCAGATATAACAAAAAGAGCAAAACAAGCCCGTTAGAACAACAGTGTGTGCAGTCTCCGGTTGTGCAGGAATACCCTTCTCCGTTAAAAACGCAGTATAATAAGCACATGTGGTGAAAAAAAAATATTACAATTATATTATATATATTATAATTATATTATAAACTGATTGATGAAGTAAAGCAATGCATGAGATTGAAAAATTATTTAAAGATGAAATGCACATATGAGTTGTATTTAATATCACTCTGTTGTGGGAAGTTCATCTAAAAGTTTGAGTGTTTTTTGTTTACTATATTTTTGATATAAAAATAGTTTACCAAATAAATAATTTACCAAATAAAATAAAAATAAAACAAGGTGACATACTTTTCATTTCTAAAGTATTTGGGTTTATTTATTATACAAAGCCCTTTTTGTCTTTTTTTTTTTTTTTTTTTTTTTTGAGGATAACTATATCGTGAAATATATCGTTACCGTGAAATAAAATTTGTCATATCGTGAAACACAATTTTGGTCATATCGCCCACCCCTAGCCGCAGTTCAGATATTTCTGTCTGTTGGATTTATTACAGTGCGGGAATTCATCAGTTTCTCCCGAAATAAATGAAAGTAAGTGGCCGAGAAAAATAGAGTTGACTTTATAATTATTTACACAGTGTCTCTCTGATATGAATAAAAACCGCCGTCAAATTTTTGAATGGGTTGTTATTTCTGCTTCCATAGACACCATTGTGTATTTTACAAACTAAAAATGTATTGTTTTGCTATAATATATTATTGTCTGAATCCTAAAATAAATATTACTGTATGTGGTTAAAAACACTGGCTCAGCGCCAGCCATAGCAAAAGCACGCAGTTTGAATCTGGCAGTTATGTCACTGTACATTCGCTCCATAGACTCGCTCTGTGCTTAGCTGCTGTAGAGCGTGCCGAATTCGAAATTGCTGATAAGATATAGAAGAAAATATGTATTGGAAAATGAGAATATTATGAAAATACCCCCCCACTCCCTCCCGATATCATAGTCCATCGCGATGTTTCACTATAGACATCGTCTGATGCCAAATTGGTAGACATCGTCCAACCCTAGTTCAACCCCGAACTTTATGAAATAACGTTACTATGTTTCGGAAGGTTTGAGCGGTGTCGTGAGGGAGAGAGAGAGAGAGAGAGAGAATAGAAGCAAGCGGAACACGGTTGTTTCTAAAGCACGCGCAGCGTCATCACGCATCAGTGTTTAAAAACTAAGCTCGGACTCGATTCTGAAATGCTCTGAATCGATCCAGGATTGTTGGGGAGAGAATAAATAACTCAATATCATATACATTAAAAATAAACTGTTCTTTTCTGAACCCCAGACCGTGTAGCGTGGCAAGTTGATGCTTGATCTTGCAGACTGCTTTTCTCTTGCGTGTCACGTGACCAGTGTAATTGCAGCTCTTGCGATTACAAAATCGCATTTCATCATATCGCGATTTTATCGCAAATGCAATTAATCGTTCAGCCCTAACGTAAAGTGACAGCGATTTCGATTCAAACCCCCATGCAATCTTAAGGCCCGTTCACACTGGGACGAATATCAGCGTGCGTTATTCGTCAGCGTTTTTCACCGCGTTTTTTGTTCACACCCAAGCGTTTTTCGCTGACGATGAGCTGAGTGAACATGCAAATTCATTCCCTGACATTAGATGGTGCCCATTTGCCATGCAATACCACTCCATAACAGTTATCTTTTATCAAGATGTGTGTAGTCCCTGTCGCGTTTGTCATAGTTCTTTATGTTCTAGCACCAATGAGAACAGCAGCTCTACATTCATCTTGTCTTGCATCTTCCATGTCTTATTTCTTCCTGGCTGTGTAGACGGTGAATGACGCGTGTATTTCTTCTTCACCGTTGCATATGTGTGCTCGGCAAGACCGTTTTGTGTTTGAGCGCCCCCGAGTTGTGTTTTACTGTCTCTTCAGAAGTTGCAAACACGTGAGAAAGCGCCAATTTAATTGGTCGGATAGTTTTTGACGCGGCGCGTCAAATTAAAAAAAACGAACCCGAGGCGTTTTTTAAAAATGACGCTTTTACGCGTGGCGTTTTACGCGTTGGTGTGAACACTCACATTGGCGCCCTTTGTTTAGTCACGAGGCGTTAAACGTCGGCAAATAACGCGTACGAAATTCGTCCCGGTGTGAACAGGCCTTTATTCCTAAATGACACACGATTTGGCTATGTCTATTCATCCAATAATGAAACAGTCTTTATAAGTCTGTCATTGAATAAATCATTCAAAAAATTAACATTTTTTTTTTCAATCATTCAAAAAATGTACATTTTGTCAGGACCGCTAGTAAACTATATGTCTTGGTTAGTTGTCTATTTGGAATCATGATGGTTTTGTGATCTCCATTTAAAAAAAAAAAAAAAAAAAAATTGTGATTCTCAGTTCATCCAGAATTGTGCAGCTCTAATACACAGCTACCCTAAGGAGGTGTCCTTGTCTTGAAATGCTGAATTCATTTTCAGAACCATCAACAAGCAAAGCATCGCTGAACTTCCATGAGGCTCTTTCGAGACCGCCGCTCAATCGGACCCACCTGCACTTCCCTTCCCTGGACGGCTCTCCGGCATTAGGTGGAGCAAGCGCTCTCTTCTCCCAGCCCTCCACATCTACAGCACCCTATTCAGGGAGCCCTTTCGCTGTAACCTCCAACTTCTCCCTGGTAAAAGAGATAAAGGACTCCAGCTCTCAGCATGAGGATGACAACATCTCGACTACCAGCGGGTTTTCATCACGTGCATCTGATAAAGGTGAGCGAAGCGCTGCCAGACGTTTGAGTTGTTCAGACAGTAGGGGTGTAACGATACACGTATTCGTATTGAACCGTTCGGTAAGAGGCTTTCGGTTCGGTACGCATTACAAACCGGACGAATCATTGGATCGTTTTTCCTGCCGAACAAAATCCGTGCTGGCGCAACCACCACAATGTTGCGCAACACTGTGCTGTGTATGCAGTAAACAAAGCATTTGAGTTCACCACTGAAGTAATAACATCGCTGCAAGATTTAGTGAGAAACATTCACATTTAGTCCACCCTTAAAAATATTCTTGTTTGCCGTAACCCGACCGACCCTGTCAATTTAGGGCCGACCCAATTTTTTATTTTTTTTCCCTTTTAGTCCGACCGACTTGCCGGTTGTAACTTGCGTTCAGACCGACCGAATTTTTTTTTTTTTTTACTCTTCAAACGACTAATTCAAATTCCATAAAATGATATTTTAGTTAGTATTGTGAAAGTTGCTTATGTCTACAAACGTAGGCTACGTTCTTTCTTTTAAATAAAAACCCGTGGCGTCATAGTCATCTGATTATGTTTACACGATTGGTTTACCCGTGTCACACTGTCTATAAGGCTTATACGTTCGCTTCGTTTCATTCAGTGTTCCCGCTTGGTAAACCCGGTATTAAATGGGCTGAATATCATCCATTTCTATATATAATAACAATATTAAACAATTTGTCTGATGCAATTTTGCTATTCCCAGTCCAGAAGAGAGAGAGCGATCTCTCACCCGGAGCCACAGCGCGAACAACATGACAGCCCTGCTTAATGAGTGACAATGAGGACAGAACGTGGTTACCTACACTTTAGATCTGGGATATTATTCTAATTGTATTTTAGATTTCCGCTTTCAAAGATTATAAAAAGATATTTGAGATGAAACCATTACAGACGCATTCTGTCTATAGCGCAACTTCCTTCCCTTCACAGCGTTGCGCTGTCATTTCTTCCTAAAACCCAAACGTACCGTCAGAATCAGCACGATCGGTAATTGTTGTAAAATGCAGTCTGTACTGTTGCTAAACTGCGTACGGGTTCAATCATTAAAAGAGCTATTAAAAGCACAAAAGTCTGCGCAAGAGACGCTGTTCACAAGGTGATGCGCGTGCTCCGAAATGCACTGCAACGGGACAAGAAAAGTAGGCTATAGCCTCATTTTGGGCTTCATGTGCGCAGCTAAACTATCAAATATACATAAAATCTAAAATGACCTGCTCTGAGATTCATTTAAACACAGTCTTTATGTCTTAAATGGATGTGAATAGTTGGGAGGATATGGTGGTGCATCAGTCATCTAGATCCGCACTCGGTCTTAAAGGGGCAGTAGTCTAATAAACATGTGACGATTGAGCCAGTAATGGGAATCAAACACAACAAAAGGCAGAGAAAAATCACTCGCAGCTCTTGAATTATTAACTTAAACTTTAATAAGCATTAATCTAACTATGATAAACCATGCAGTGTCATTTTACATTTGATTTACTAAATTAAATTTCTTTTCAGACAGCGCAACACACTTAACTGAAAAGTAGCTAATTTTAGACCTTTCTGAAATTAAAGCACTGTGTATATAGGCTCATTTGTATCTTTGTTTAATTGTATTCTTTGTTTCACCATGTGTTTGTACTTGTTTTTGCTTATATCTCATGTATTTGGGGGAAAAAAAGCCTGCACACTGCTGCATAACAAATACAGTAGATATTTATTCATTTTGTGACTGGCCTAAAAACGTAACCGGTTGTAGGTTGCAATAACACCTAGTGGTGGATGCACAGTTTGAAGACCCAGTCAGTGACGTCACAGTATGCAATTAAAAAAAAAAAAAAAAAAAATTCATGATCACCATGACCAAAATTTTACTTTTTTTTTTACACTGAATCCTGGAAAAAAAAAATATAGACCTACCTACCGACCATTTTTTTTAAAAAAATTGCTGTTACTGCAAACCAAAATATTTTTAAGGATGGCCTTATCGTTTATTAACGAATCAAACAGCGCTGACGTGCAAACCAGGAGAAACATTGTTCCATGAATGAACTAGTTTTGAAGTGCACATATCAGCAACATTCACCATGGGTTTACTGTAGTAACACTCACTGTAACCATGGAAGTGTGGCAAAAATAATAAAATGCTTTCAAGTACGTCACACATCTTTGTCCAGCAATTCAAAACTCAAATATTATATTTAAATGTTATTTTTAATGTGATGACCAAACATTATTTGTTCATCCTTCAAAAACTAAAAGTTTCAAGATGTCGGAAAACTCACACTTAAAAATAATTTTTATTTTAATAAAAAGCACTGGCATTTCTTTTTCAAAAACGTACCGAACCGCTACACCACTGTATCGTATTGAACCGAACAGTGAATTTTGTGAAACGTTACACCCCATTAGACAGCAATACTCATTGGAGTTTTAGACTAGGTGTAGGTAGAACTAAGAGCAGGGCTTAATTTTGTTACAGATGTGCCCACGTCAAAGACTGTGCCGCTCCTCTGGTCCCCAGAGTCTGAACGCACCCACTCTGGATCGCAGCCAGCCCATTCTGGGCTCAAGAGACCAGCCTTCAACCTGTCAGTCTTCGGCACTTCCTCATCAGTAAGTACTTCTTATTCTTATGAGAACTTTCTTTTCTGATATTTTTTTTTCTTATGTATGGGCAAAATGGTTTAAACCCCAAATAATATATTTTAAAAGCAATTGGCTGTGGAAAAAACAGTCCCTCTATATTTAGTTTTTTATACATCCACCCATTTTACGTTATGTTACATTTTCACTGTTTACAAAGGCAGGGCCTGCCATCTTGTCTTTTTGGCTTGTTGTTTTCTCATTGCATTTTATTGCAAATCTGGATTAAATCCCAGAAGGGAAAATCAAAACAAAATAAAGTTAAAACTTGTTTTGAACAATTTCTTTGTCATCTGCAGATTTATTTTAATCGTCTGATATTCTTTTAGGCCAAGAATATCATAGACAGAAACAGAGAGAAGTAGATCTGGCAACAATGTTCTTCCACAAGACGTGTGTAGTTCTGTTTATTAACTAGAGCGCCAGCTTTCTTTTTTGGAACCCAACATGAGAATTTCTTTGATTGACATGACAGACAGCAGCAGAAATATTAGACTGCTGTCACTTTAAGACTTCATGCATGGATCCAATATACTGTTACACAACTTGTGTAATCTTTCTCAACTAATTAGGTGCCGAAACTTACTTTTTAACTTTTTTTTTTTTATTTTTTATTTTTTACTTGAAACATTCTGATGCTGTTCTGGGTAGGGTTTTTAGTTACAAAAAAGTATGTATTTAATAAAAATCTGGATGTCGCACAACTTTTGAGCAGTCAGTTTTCTTTTAATGGCCTTGTCTTGTCGCATGACTAATGACTGGATGGAGACTAATGTTAATTATGCATATTTATTCTCCTATAGTCAGTGTTGAACAGTTCAGTGCTGAACTCCAGTCAGTTAGGGGATTCACCCTTCTACCCAGGGAAGACCACATATGGAGGGGCTGCTGCGATGAGAACGGCTCGCTCTCGCCCGGCTACTCCTTACCAGGTCTGAACAATACTGCCAATACTATCATTGTTTGAGATTGCTGCTTGTTTGTTCTATTCCTTTTTGACTGACACTGTATTCTGGTCTTTGTTTCCACAGCCTCCCGTTAGGAGGCAGATAAAGGCAAAGCCGGCTGGAGCTCAACCCTGTGGAGTGACCAGCGCCACGGCGAGACGCATCTTACAGTCTTTGGAGCGCATGTCCAGTCCTCTTGCTGTGAGTTTATTGTCTGGTCTCTGGTGTCTAGAATCTAAAATCAATTAATATGTTTGTTGCGATATCCACGTCACGATTCAATACATTTCACAATACAATATTGCAATATTCCAAGACATGGAAAAAGGTTAACAAAAAAATGTACTGTTGATTTAAATGGTGTTACATTGTGGGTGTGAATGAATAGGCTTGGACTTGGTGTTTATAACCCAAAGCACCAGACAATAGACGAGTAGTTTAATGTAGTACTGACACTAAATCTCAGAAAACTTACTTTTTTTTTGGTTGAACTATTCACCATACATATTGTTGCATTTTTGTATGCGACATTTTTGTATTGCGATTGGCCTCAGGGTTGGCGATAAACTGAAAAAATTTCAACCAGTAGAGATCTTGTATTTGCTCTATCTGGGTTATCTGCCATGTTCTGCCGGTATGAAAGCATGTCATTTCAATGCGACAGTTTAGAGACTGTTTCCAATGCAAACACTTGAAACACACGCACGTAATGTCACTCATCGTGAAATAAAATGACTTGCACTGTGATATTAGATTCTGGTCATCGCCCACCCCTAAGTCGCCCAACTTTTCTGTCGTCAGTTATTAAATGCATCTTGCCAAAGGTTTAAGATGACCAAACCATAGCAATAAAGGCTTTTTAATCTTTCTAAAGAGAGTGCCTTGGAGTTTCCTGAATTTTTGCTATAAAGTGCCATTTAGATTTGCAGTAAAAGTAAACATTTCATAAAAATAATATTTTTGTTAACTTTGCAGGATGCAAAAAGAATTCCATCTTCAGTTTCATCACCTCTTTCAGCTGTAAGTACCATATCATAGTAGTTTACTTTATTACTCTTTAAAATTCACTGAGTTTTCAGTCCATACAGTCTTCAGACATTGCTTGTTTTATCTTTTCAGTCCTTGAACCACACAGACCTTGACATTTCAAATTACCAGGCAAAAAGGAAAAGGGTAAGTCTTGTGCATTAATAAACGCACGTTCTGCCGAGTGTCGGATAAAAGGAAAAGAAAGACATCCATACATAGTTTTTATGCATAGGAGCAAATTTTTACAGCACAAAATCGCCAACTTTCATTTTGCGTTTGCTGCTTGTCTTTAACTGTTAACAACTGTGGCAGCTGGCTTCTAATCCCGAACAATGTGCCTATTCACCCGGCCCCAGAAACATAAAGCCTGTAATAACCATTTGTGGCGGATGTCCATAGTCCAGTATATCCAGGGCTTTGAGTGCGTTTTGTTGTTAAAGTGAGCACACTACACTTGATGAATCATAGCAGAGGGCTTCATGCATTAATGTTGAATGCTCGATCAGTAATTACAAATAGTAAGCTAATTCACTTTTTTTATTGCTAAAAAAGGTCAATGGTTAGCCTGATATCTTTTGTGCAGTGGTGTAGAGAGCTGTTATTTTAATATTCAATAATATTATTGATCTGTATGGAAGTGTCTTTGTGCACTTAAAGAAAAAAAAATCTACTCTTTTTCTGAATTAACGAGTTGATCATCTCAGAATTACAATAATTTTTCATGGGAAAAAATGTTGCTCTGTTTTTCTGAATTAATGACTTTAATGAATGAGAGTTATGTGTAACTCTTATTCATAAAAACAGTGAAAAAAAATCATAATTCTGAAATAACTTGTTAATTCAGAAAAACAGAACAAAAACTGTTGTTCATGAAAAAATCTCATAATTCTGAGATAATTAACCGTTAATTCAGAAAAACAGAGTGGATTTTTTTTAATGCAATACGCTTCTGTAGATCTGCCTGCATTGACACCATTACATGAGACCTGAGCTGGACGGTGACATCACTGTTTTCTCCATGTATAAATGAATTAAATTAGTAACTTTTTCACTGAACTTTAAGGTCGCTATTTTCTTCTAGATTGTTGCATTATTTTCCTGTTATCGCGTGTAAAGCTACTTTTGTAAAAAGCGCCGTATAAATAAAGGTGCCCTGTTGTGTTCGACACACAGCTGGAGCCATCGGCCCCTCCTGTGCAGAAGCTGGTTGTTCCTGCAGCTGCTGCAGTGTCTGGTAACCGCTCGATGTCCTTCAGACCATCACTCACCCCAGGTGGAGGGAACAGAGGGCTGGACAAAAACAACAGGGACACTGTGAGTTCAATATGTAACACAGGGATCAATATCGCCCTTTGTTTCACAGAGATGTTGAAAGTAAAATGCAATACAGATAATTAAGCACACAATTAATCAATTTATGAAAGATATTTATACTTTTATTCACCAAGGATGCATTAAAATTAATGTAGACATTTAAAATTACAGGAGATTTTTATTTCAAATAAATGAGGTTCTTTTTTTTTCTTTATTCTAGAACGTTCTAAAAATTTTCAAGAAACAGTTTCTTAAAATTAAGCATCACAACAGTTTTCCACTGTGATAGGTTTCTTGAGCAGATTTTTGATTTCTGAAGGATCATGGGACACTGAAGTTCCAGCGTCATTACTTCAGTCTTTAGTTTTAACATCCCAGGAATAAATTCTATTTTAAAATATATTCAAATGTTAATTAAGGTTTAAGGTTTTTTTAATTACTATTTTTACTGATTTGTTAAAATAACTGCAGCCTTTGTGAACAAAAAGAGACTTTCAATTGTGTCTATAGGGCCTGAACTATCTTTAAAATATTAGTTTATGAAAAGTTCCTTCAAGCACTGTAATTAAGTGGATTATGTTTTGATTCTTTGTTTCCTTTCTTAGCCGGTAAGACAATCTCCTCCAATTTCAGATCCCTCCCAGACTCCATCTACCAGGTAAGAGCAGATGGGTTATGCTAATCTTACATTACCCCTGTTTCACACTGAACACATAAGCATCGCAGAAGCTGTTTGTTAGCAGAGCGGGAGCCTTTGTGCTTTTACACTGACAGCGTGTGTACTGCAAAAACCGATCAGTGTCGTCCATTGTGTCACGTTTTCAGGCGTACTTCTCTGACCGATGCTACATGCTTTGATTAATGATGTACTGACTTCTCTCTGATGTGACCGTGTTCCTCTTGTACACATAATATATAAAAATATTAGTGCTGGGCAACAATTCCTTGCATTCAATATAAAAGTTTGTTTACATAATATATGTGTGTACTGTAATTATTTTGTGTATATAAATAAGTGATGCGCGGGTTGATCCAAAATGAGCGGGTGTCTGCGGTTACCTGCAGTTACGAGTCATCCAAAAATATTTGTAATATTCGAGTTGCGGTGGGTCTGTTCGTTTGAAAAAAGATGCTAAACTTTCTTATTTATATAGTACTAGACACAATTTTCTATGAAATATATAGGCCTACACTTTATTGGCTGAATAAATGGCACGAAGATGACACACAAGCTCAGTCTAAACAGTTATCAGTTCTTTACTGGTGATCCGAGAACCGCTGTACCTGTGCGTTCGGTAGTACGCGGATGCACAGTATCAGCTGCTCGTGGTCATCACTTCTCTCAGCAGCGGCACCAACATGTCTCAGTTCAGTGAACTGTTGGAGTTACTGAAGTAAAATATAATCCTGGATATTGGTTTATTTCAATTCGGAGGGACTGTCAGGCATGTCAGAAAGTGAGTAACTTTAGTAACTTGTGGATCAGCACTGATGCAAGACGCGAACTGTTTCGAATGGTTCAGTTTGATTTAGTGTACTGGTTCACTAAAAAGAACCGGTTCAAAAGAACGATTCATTCACGAACCGGCCATGTCTCTGATCACTACAGTCTGCAGAGAGATGGAAGCGGCAAGAGAAAAGGTGAAGACTGGGGAGTGGAAGCTCTGCAAATACACAAAATAGAAAGAGTAAAATTGTGGGAGACTAGGGATGGGCATTCGATTAAATTTTTCTTAGTCGATCGTCGGAAGAATTAACGATCGACTATCGATTAATCATTAATATTTTTATATTCAAATTTATTATTTATTTCACTTTTTATAAATGAAAAACTGCAATGAAAATACAAAAGTACAGCGTATTTTTCCTCGATTAGATCTTTATTACAAGATGATCAACTTGTGGCAGTTAAACTGGGCTTTCGGTTAGGCTAAATTTGAAGATATGCGCGGCGGTGCTCTAACGCAACTGAACCTGCAGCTGCAAGTTGGCCCTTATGAGACCGTCGTTTGTTCCAAAATAATAAATAATAATAAAAATAACTTAACCAAAACATAATAACATTTAGATCTGACAGGTTTTGTCAATGTAACTCAATCAAGGCACGGAGTTGAGAAAGGGTGAGAGAGATTAGCCTACCTAACAATCAATTAGGCTAGGCTACTTAAAGCTTCATAAAAAATAACTCGCATACAACTTCTGCTCCAGTCTACTGATTTTTGTTGAGAAAGATAAGCATGTTGACGACATGATCTGGGGTCAGACGCGACCGCAACCTGCATGGTGACCGTCAAGCCTTGTTTACACTTTCGCCTTGATCTTCAGTGCGAGTCTTTGCAGACTGCGCGCGCACCTCCCCAAACACGCTCGTGCGGACGCGTCGAGTGTAAACATGCTTCAGTCCAGCCGCTGAAAACACCGCTCTGATGAGAGGACTGACGTTGCCGGCCGGGATGCACAGGTACCTCCGCGCTAACATAACCAGCCCAGGGAACACGTTCACTTTCCACTCGCACTACGCAACGCAGCAGCATTAGTTTAATGATAATCGATAACAGTTAACGTGATCGGCGAAATTCTTAATGATCAATAATCGATTGTCGATTAATCATGCCCATCCCTATGGGAGACATTTCCCAAAATAATGAAAGAAGATAACCAAGGTACTGGCTTTGTTATGTGTACGTCTTCTTGCGATACTGTGTTGTTACACGTCTATGGCCCAGGTCAGGAAGCGGGTTGGGTACAATATTTTCTTCAGGGATGTGATTTTTCCGGATTAATCCGGAGTTCTGGATTTTCCGACCTGAAAATGTGACCTACGTGAATCATGCAGATCTGTAAAAAAAATTTTACACACGGAAATCGGCAATTTATGCAGTGAAAGTGCGGCGTAAAAAATAAATAAAAATGCGTCTCCCTGCAAAAATGTTGACTTTGACGGATTATGCATTGAATCATGCGATCCCATAATCGCGTTTTTCTGGAGGAATGATATACATGCATTTGTGTGTATTTATATATACAAATTAATTATAGACCGTACTCGCACACATATTTAAAGTTTCATTTAGGATGTGATTAATCGCAATTAATCATTGCCCAGCACTATATGCACTGAATTCTTTTTTGCTGCTTACATGTCCAGTGTGAAACGGAAGCTAAATCTTCTCTTTTTTGGATAGACAGTGAGCTGTTCGTGTCTTCACTTGCATATATACTCAATCCATCAATTCTTTTGTCTCTAATACAAGCAGTGTGTCCTACCCGCTGTCCAGCACCCCAGCACCCAGCAGCGCTGCTTCAGGAGGGGGGAAAATGAAGAGGGAACGAGCAATTAGACCTTCATCCAAACGGCCTGACGATGAGGTCAATGTTCGGCTGGATATAGGCTTCGCTATACCATTGTTTTTGGAATGGTTTGATGCTCATGTAGACTGTTTTACTTTCAGCTTGCTGTGGACCCAGACCTGCCGCCTGCCTCTCTTCCCAGCAATTTCACTTTGCCCACATTTAATTTCTCCTCTCCTCCCCCTACCTCCTCGCTCACCACCGGCACAACACCACTTGCAACCGTCTCTGAGGAACCGCTTGCAAATAAGGTATTACTTCCCCTCTGACCCCTCAGAATTGTGCCTTTCTGACATAGTCTTGGCTCAGCAAACTGAAAGGTGCTCATTGCTGTTATGTTGCACAAATAATGTGGTCAAGTATCTCTAACCCAATTTTTTTTTTTTTTAAATCAGGAGGCAGTGATGCCATCCACACCACCATCTGTCCCATTCACGTTCTCTTCACCTATTGTAAAGGCAACAGCAGCCAGTCCTCCAACCTTCTCTCCATCAGTAGGTCTCCTTTATTCTTTTACACTTTTTCATGCCAAACAAGCATCTGTAATGATTAGGGATGCACCAATATCATTTTTTTTTTTTCAGATTGATACCGAAAATTCTGAGTATTGGCCGATAAAAATCCGATATCAGCGCAGTTGCTGTTGTTGTTTTGTTTTTGTTTTTAAATCAATGTAAAATTTCTATACCTCTATGTGTTGAACTTATAATTACTCTTTTGTGTGTTAAACCTTATTATAAAGACACAAATGAAACAATTGTGTTAACACATTTCTCCTTTTATTGTTGTAAAATAAATGTAATATATACTACAAAATGACACCATTTCATGCAAAGCAAGCATCTGTAATGATGATATTCTTCCCTGCAGGCTGGATTCACTTTCAGTGCTCCTACTTTGAAAACAGGCCCTTCTTACTCCAATGGGAAAATTGTTCCAACAGTATTACCAGGTAAGGCTATTTTTGCAAATCAGATGTTTGAGGATTTGAAGTCAGGTTTTGGTGGTGTTGATGTTTCTTCCCTGCATGTTTCACAGTCAAATCACTGGCCAGTGAGGAAAAAGAGTTTGAAGGACCCTTCAAACCTGCAAAGGTCTTAAAACAGGGCAGTGTATTGGATATACTTAAGGGACCTGGTATGATATACTTTTAAGTAAATGTTTTTAATGGCATGTTGCAATTTGAGTGCGTTCATTTTGAGTGTTTCTCTTTTCCAGGATTTGCTTCCCCCTCTCAGAACTCTGCTGATAAACCTTCACAGTCTGCGTTGTTATCATCTGCTACCTTTTCTGGTTTTGGTGACAAGTTCAGGCCACCTGCAGGTTCATGGAGCTGTGACACTTGCCTATTGCAAAACAAATCCTTGGACAAAAAGTGCGTTGCTTGTTTCGCACCACAACCCAACACAGACACTGCCTCTAAATCGGACAGTAAACCCGCAGAAGCTCCTGCAAGCATTAGTTCTCTCTTTGCTCCTCCAGCTGGTAGCTGGGAATGTGACACATGTTTGGTTAGTAACAAACCGGAAGTAATTAAATGTGTAGCTTGTGACACGGCCAAACCCGGGACTGGAGTGAAATCCAGACTGACTCTACCGGTTCCTTCAGAGACCTCATCCACTCTCTCTACAACCACAACGACTGCCACTTCATCTACAGCGACTGGACTGTTAGGATTTGGGGACAAATTTAAGAAGCCAGAGGGGGCTTGGGATTGTGACGTGTGCATGGTTCGGAACAAGGCACAGGATGTCAAATGCGTATCCTGTATGAGCTCTAAACCAGGTAAGGTTTTACTAAGATTTAATACATTTTAATACTCAACATAAAAAAGAGGGACAGGCCCTTTAACACCTGTGATAGTAAAAAAGCTTCTCTTAAAATTTGGTCTGAAAAATAGAGTTGGGAATCGAAAAATTGATTCCAATTCTGGAATTCAATATATGTTATTAAAGCTGCCATCGGAAAAATTTTTTTGGTCATATTCAGTGAAATCGACACTATAATCCAACAGAACAACATAAATAAAAAACCCGAGCTTCTAACTCCATCTGGAGCGTGTTATTTGTTTTGCAAAAATCCAGCGCTCACGGATCATCGGATCCAGTCAGCGCAGGGGTGTGTGAGATCTGACTGTCAATCACAGATCGGGCACACGCCACCCCTCGCGCACATTACAATCACATGAACACGCCTGAAGTTCCCGCAGTAAGGAAGAGTGATGGTGGAACACTAACAAATCAAGTAATCTCGTTTAGAGTATAAATGACGTTAGCAATTGCAATATATTGGTAGATTAGCCAGGGCAGCATACCTCCAAATAATCCATGGTGTTGATGGATGCTGGTGAGACGGTCGCGTTCACAGATAACCTGGTGCGCACGCACTCGAGCACAAACTCTGTGGGAGGGTATTCATTGATAGTGGGTAGGGGTGGGCGATATGACCAAAATTGTGTTTCACGATATGACTAATTTTATTTCACGGTAACGATATATTTCACGATATAGTTATTTATATAGTTATCCTCAAAAAAAAAAAAAAAAAGACAAAAAGGGCTTTGTATAATAAATAAACCCAAATACTTTAGAAATGAAAAGTACGTCACCTTCCTTGTTTTATTTTTATTTTATTTGGTAAACTATTTTTATATCAAAATATAGTAAACAAAAAACACTTTTAGATGAACTTCCCACAACAGATTGATATACAACTCATAGGTGCATTTCAACTTTAAATCATTTTTCAATCTCATGCATTGCTTTACTTCATCAATCAGTTTATAATATAATTACAATATATATAATATTTTTTTACCACATGTGCTTATTATACTGTGTTTTTAACGGAGAAGGGTATTCCTGCACAACCGGAGACTGCACACACTGTTGTTTTAACGAGCTTGTTTTGCTCTTTTTGTTATATCTGGCAACCCGTCAGTTCGGAAGTGACAAGAAGGAGAGCAGCAATATGAAAACCAAACCGTAGCTACTGTTAGTGTTGACTAAGTAGTTTAAATTATACACACCTTATAACAGTGCGTTGAACACCGCGCGCTCCCTTCTCAGTGCATGTGCACGCGCGCGTCTTTTACATCAACAAAATGCGATCGATTAATTTGAGAGTGAAGTTGTAATCACGGATCTAATCAAAGGAAGATTTTATCAACTGGTTCAGTAGGCATTTGTTTGGAGTTAAAAAATATATAACTCGCGCTGCATATTTAGTAATTTTGCCTCAGAAACAGGATTATTTTTAACAAGCAGGATGTTCATTCATGCTGAATGCGATTTTCATGTTTAAAACGTAACTATACATAAGAGAAGGAAAGATGCGGATAACTAAACAACATTTCATAGGCTATATCAATATCATTACGAGAAATAACCTTAAATAATGTTATCAAGTAACTTCATGCTTTCCCCGTTGCGAACGTGCACTCCTCTAAACTGTAGCCTGTGTGCTGCTGCTCTGCTCAAGTTGACGGCTGCCTTTCCCCCCGAACATATCACGTTAACAACAATCCTTTAGAAAATGTAATTCCTTTGTGGATCCTCTTGATCTGCTTTCTCCATGTTTCTTTGACAAATCTCAGCATCAGTCTCACGCGCGCTGCACAGGAGTTAACCACGCCCCCTTATTTGCATTTCGCGGTATACACGGAATAAAAAAATCTGTTACGACTGACGTTTTCTATCGCGGTAACGATATATATCACCCAGCCCTAATAGTGGGGGAGGGCCATATGAATTGTTAACATTCAAAATTTTGCCTAAGTCCACTCAATCCGCCAGACTTGCCGACTGCAGCTTTAAATACAAATTTCTATTCCTCTTATCAATTCCTTTGTGAACATTTCAATTACTTAAACCGTTTGTTAGTGTGATATGACTCGTCAACAAGTAAAGGCTTGAAATATTTATCACTTTGCATGTAATGAGTCTATAATAATAATTAGTGTTGTCAAACGATTAAAATATTTAATCGCGATTAATCACATTAATGTCTTTTTTGTTCTCTATTTTTTTATTACTGAGTTGTGTTGTCAAAATATTCGGTACTTCGGTACCAAATCGGTACTAAAAAGTTTTAAACGTCACGTTACCAAGTACCGGTGGTACCGAGTACCCGGTCAAACCCGGTTTTGGATGCGCAAGTAAGCACGAAGAGCGTGAAGTTGCGTGAGACATGGCGACCGGCGGCGCTCCGGATGTGGTGTCTGTGTATATTAAACTGAAAAAAGTTCTGCTCGTCTGTGTGAATGAACGGCGCAGACGCGAACTTACCTCTCACACACTCACACTGAAGCACGTGTGACACTCGCACTGTTTTCAGTCTCTGCTGCCTCACGATATGATGACATGATTCTTGATTGGCAACCCGTCAAAAATAAAAGTTTGGTTTAACTTAAAGAAATTGACAGTGACAGGAATAATTATATCAGGCTACTGTACAATAAATTTAACCACGTCTCCATTAATTAAAAATACTACCACAATAATAATAATAATAATGTGTGCACAAGGTTGCTTATTTTTTCTTCATTTCTTTTAATAAGCAATATTTCTAATCAATATCATCAATATTTTCATTTAAACAGCATGTAGCCTTCAATGCTTTTATAAATGTACCGTCATAAGTCATTGAATTGTTTTTTTTTTTTTTCAAATAGTTAAATAAGTTGGAAATAGGTCAAACTGATTGCTGTGGTCCCGAAATTGGGACAGAGAACGGTCAAATTTTAATGATATCGGTACTGACTACTGGAATTTTGACTGCTAGAGTGTTTACTTGTCTTTAATAATGCTTGAAATTTATCTTAGTTAGTTAGTCTAGTTGTTTTTCAATGGTGTTTTTAAACCCTGGCAAACGTTCCTTGTAAAGGCCCGTACATACCGGGACGAACACGCCAAAAGAAATTTTCCTTGACGATGAACTGAGTAAATATGCAAATTCATTCGCTAACATTAGATGGCGCCCGTTTGCTCTGCAATACCACTCCATACAGTTATCTTTTATCAAGATGTTTGTAGTTGCTGTCGCGTTTGTCACATAGCTCTTTATGTTCTAGCACCAATGAGACCAGCAGCTCTACATTCATCTTGCCTCGCATCTTCCTCGTCTTATTTCTTCCTGGCTGTGTAGACGGCGACGCTACTTGGCTTATATCTTCTCTGTTCCGTATGTGTGCTTGGCAAGACCGTTTTGTGTTTGAGCGCCCCCAAGTTGTGTTTTACTGTAACTTCAGAAGCTCCAAACACGTGAGCAAAAGCGCCAATCTCATTGGTCGGATAGTTTTTGATGCAGCTCGTCAAACTAAAAAAACGAACCAGAGGCGTTTTTAAAAAAAAATTACACATTTACGCATGGCGTTTTTCGTGTCAGGGTGCTCACTCACATTGGCGCCTTTTGTTTAGTCACGAGGCGTTAAACGTTGGCAAATATTGTGCGCGAAATTCGTCCAGGTGTGAACAGGCCTTTAGTGTTCTTTAGCCCATTGATTTTTGTTCATGAAATTCAACTGCAATTAAATGTTTTGCTATAAGACTAAATGGGAATGATATCGAAGTCTTTCTTTTTTCCTTAATGGAATCAAAATAAGGAGTCAATAAGCAGAATTGGAAACATTTAAATTAAAACGATATCATACTGAAAAGCCTAGCTTTCAATATCTGCCTAAGCAAACTGATATTTGCGTCCCTGATGTCTTGCTCTTCTTGGTGTTTTACAGGAGCTGTAGCCGGTGTGGTCTCAACTCCAGTCTCTGCACCTGCAACCTCTGCTGCGTCTGCGTTAGGATTCGGGGATAAGTTCAAGAAACCTGAGGGGAGCTGGGACTGCGAGGTGTGCTGTGTTCAGAATAAGGCAGCGGACCAGCAGTGTGTGGCCTGCCAGTCAGCAAAACCCGGAGCTAAAATAGAGTCCAAAGGTAAAGTGCATTGTAATCATATTTCCAGAAGTCATATTTTGTGAAGCAGTGACTTACCGTTTTGTAGAAGCAGACTAATGACCAGTAGTCTTGCTGTTTTTCAGGTTTTAGTTCATCTTTTGGCGTTCAGTCCAACAGTACAGACTCAAGTTCATCTGGTTTTAAGTTTGGTACCGGCTCTACGGACTCGACCTCTGCTGGATTAAAGTTTGGAGGCTCTTTCGCAGATTCTTCCACCGGGGTAGGATTTAAATTTGGAATCGGGACTTCTGACTTGACCTCAAAATCAGAGGGCTTCAAATTTGGAGGCTCGTTCTCGGATGCTGGTTCTGGTGGGGTCAAACTTGACTGTGCCTCGGCAGAATCCGCAGTGACGAAAGAGAATTCAACAACGGCCATTGCTTTAAGTGGATCCATGGATGGTGACGCAATCGAAAAAACCCCTAAATCTCAGGATTCTAGTACGGGATTTAAATTTGGTGGCGGAAGTGGAATCACTTTCAGCTCTCAAGCTCCTGGCTCGCAAAACTCTGCATTTTTATTTGGAGCTAAACCTAGTGAGAAGGAAAGCTCAAATTCATCATTTAGTTTCTCTGTGCCCCAGTCCAAGGCTGAGAAAGATGCTCCTGCTTTCTCAGAAACCGCTTCAACAACCACAACATCATCGACGACAACTGCAGAGAGCACCATCCCTGTTTTTGGCAAGTCTTTAGTTGCTGAATCTTCTGCCTCAAAGTTTGTGGAACAAGCAACGCAAGAGCCAACACTGGTGACACCTAACTTCACCTTTGGAAAACCAGAAGAGAAAAAGGACATCTCTGCACCCTCAAATGCGTTCTTGTTCGGTGCTTCCAAGGAAGCGGAGAAACCAAAGGCAAACTTGGGCTTCTCTTTCAGCGAGCCAGATGCTCCAAAAGATTTCCTCAAGCCTACGCTCACGTTTGGGAAAACTGCTGAGTCAACAGAACCCCCAAAGCCATCGTTTGGTTTTGGACAGAGTATAAAAGGTGAGTGAACCCGTATGGTCTTTTGATGCTCTCTTAAAGCTATAGAGCGCTTCAGTGGTGACGTATTTTTGTAGGGATTTTGCATCAGTGGGATTGGATTTTGGATTATTGCAAAAAATAAGTTCTGTGATTAACAAAAGTTTTTTTTTTTAACGTAAACTAGGGATGCACCGCTATCATATTTACAGTAATTCAGCTGAGAAACTTCAGATGTTCACTGTTCAACAAGATGGTACTGAAGAAAACAATCCATTATTAGTCGGCTTTAATATCTCAACAAAGTTGCTTATCAGGCCAATACTATATATTTTTACATATCAGCTGATACCGATATGGTGGGCAATATGTCGTGCATCCCTACAAAACAGCCATTGACTTTGCGACGATTGAAACTGAATTGCTAAAATGCTAGTTTTTTTGCCCTACAAAAATGCATCATCCCTGCAGCACACTATGCCGTATTCTTGTAGTACCACAATTTGACTCTCCCACTATTTGCTTTCCAGAAACATCTGCTCCAACGCCCAATTTTGGCTTCATGGCCAACTCCTCGAGCACCCCAGCTTCATCCAGCTCCACCCCCAGCCTTTTCATCACTCCCACTACCTCTTCCCTGGCTCCCACCCCTGTTCCCTCAAGCACCTTTGTATTTGGCCAGAGTTCCTCCTCTGAACTTACCGTGGCAAAGACTTTCGTGTTCGGACAGCAGGACAGCCAGACACCGGCACCTGCGGCTCCTTCTGCTGCACCTGCACCAGCACAACCTTTCCAATTTGGCTCGGGCTCAAACTCATCTGGCCCTTCTTTCAATTTTGGTGCTGTTGCGTCCTCCACCCCAGCCTCTGCCGGTTAGTTTCCCTCCTAAAATCCCATAGTGTGCTTCTTAGGGCTGTCGTGATGACCGCAATATTGTAATACTGTGATACTGACAAGCCAACCGCAAAGGAATGCACGCAACCGTGATATTTGCATGCCTTCTTTTTTTATAAGGCTACACCCTTCTTGTTTTACACTTTGTAACTTATTTAGAAATCAATACACCTTTACAAATGATAATAAGACTGTTTATCATGGTGATTTGCTCTCAACAAGCCTAAACTGGTTAGTTTGCCCCCAAAAATCCCACATTGTGCTTCTTCGGGCTGCCGCGATAACCACAATGTTGTAATACCGTGATACTTACAAGCCAACCGCAAGGGAATGCAAGCAATCGTGAAATTTGCTTGTTTTCTTTTTTCATAAGGTTATACCCTTCTTGTTTTATACTTCCTGAAGGTGTATTGATTGTTAAATTTTTTTACAAATGATAAGACCATCTATCATGTTGATTTGCACTCAAGCCTAAACTGGTTCGTTTGCCTCAAAAATCCCACATTGTGCTTCTTAGGGCTGCCACAATATTGTTATGCCATGATACTGACAAGCCAACTGCAAAGGAATGCTAGCAATTTGTTTTTTTTGTTTTTTTCTTTTCTTCATAAGGCTACGTTCTTGTTTTGCATTTCGTGAAGTTGTATTGAATGTATTGTTGTCAAAAGTACCGACTTCGGTATCAAGTCGATACTGAAATCTTTCAAATGTGACGCTTTGAGCGCTGTTGACCGGAATTTCTGTGATTGGCTATAATGATCAGCACTTCAAAAACATGTTAACATGTAAATATTCATCAAATGACGCTCTCCAGCGAGCGCTTGCACAGATGCACACGCGAGCGTTTGAAAGCAGACGTCTATCAGCGGATCAGTCCTGCTTGTGCCTTCAAACGCTCCTGCTTTCAAAACACTTCAAACACTCCCGTGTGCTCATGTAGCCAATCACAGACACATCCGATGAGTTGTTGAACACAACGGCCAATCAGAAGTTGATTCTCTCAATAGTGCTCATAGCAGCACATATTTAAAGTTTCAATACCAACTTGGTACGGTACTTTTGACATCACTAACCAACTAACAAGCCAGCCTACAGAGTAGATTAAAAAATGAATAGAACAATAGAAATTAATAAACAAATGGCGATGGTACCGTCACCATGATGACAGTCCTAGTGCATCTTGTTCAAATGTGCCTAACCTCTCATTTCTCTTGCAGCTCCGACTCCGTCTGCCAACCCTTCCCCGTTTGTCTTTAGTTCTGCCGCTCCTTCATCTGGCTTTGGCACTGGCCAGGCACCAATCTTCGGACAAAACGCATCTCAGCCCAGTGCTCTTTCGTTCGGGTCATCGGCACCTTCATTCTCAGCCAACGCTTCCCCAGCTTCTGCATTCGGAGCCAAGTCCAATACTGCCCCTGTATTCGGTCAGCAAGCCAATCCTACACCTACGTTTGGATCGACTGCTGCCTCCACGGGCCAAGGTCAGAGAAACATGTCATCATTTAATTCTAAACCGGGCAACTAATGGTTCTCTCAGGAACGTTTTTGGTTGCATTGAACCGCCAGTTGGAACTCTGAAGTGTCGTGCTTGTTGTGACTTGTTTTGACAGTGCTGAGAACACCAGAGCATTCTCCTTGTTCATTAGTTTATGATCTGTCTAATACGTTATTAGATAGAGCTGTCATGCATAGAAAGCAGACTATATATGAAAAGGTATTAGCGTATGCCGTATACAGGGCTTAAAGTATTCCGGCACCGTGCCGGATCACTCAATTGATTTAACCTACCAATCATGTGAGTGGAACACATCTCTAACACATAACAAGTCTATCAGAGGCAGAGCAGTGTGGGTCCAAGCGACACTGTGTGATAGATTGAGATCCATTCGTCACGTTAGCGTCGTCGGTGAAAGCTTGAAGCGCAAGTTCATAAAGCCCGGGGATGATGTCTTACCCACGGGTGTGCGGACATGTCCCCCCCACTTTCAAATTAGTTTGTTGTGACTTTTAACCACACGGCGTCATCGCCACGGAGGAGCAGAACCGAGCTTGTGTGAAATAGCTCACTGAAAGCTCCCTGCCCCCTTTGGGTTGGTCCTCTTGAAGTTGCATTGGATTTTCTCCTTGTTACTAGCCTGGATGCCAGCAAAACTTAGCCCTGCCCACAACATTTGAGGATGGGAAGTTTGGTCTGGACTTGATCTGTTAAGAAGCAAGTATCCCAAAACCAAAGCTGTTCTAACCAATCAAATTGTCAGGGTGGGCTTTATATGATGATGGCCAGATGATCAACCGTAATGTAACCATCCACGTCACTAAAGAGTAGGGCTGTTTTCGACTAAGGATTTTCATAGTCGAATCTGATTCGTTAGATTTTGCCATAGTCGACTGATAGTCAAACCTTTTTTTTTTTTTTAGATGGGTCTAGCAGCTATATTTTTTCCATTTCAAACAAAAGAGATGGACGTATGTGCATTAGGCTATTCGTTATGTTTTTTTGGTTTTTTTTGGTTTTTCTAAACAGTGAGGTTATGTTTAGGTAGTAGTATTTTTCATGTTTTTATCATGCAATCATGTTTTTGATGCGGTGGTGAGCTTGTAACTTGTAGGCTAACTTAACGCTTTAGCCTAAGGGTAGCAGCGGCGCTGCCGAAAATAAAAAGCTGTCACAAATAAAAAATATAGCAAGGAGACATTTTAATTGTTTATTAATAAAGATGAAGTTGACGATGCTGCGCGATCTTCCCATAGTGCATGCGCCAGAGAGAAATGCATAGTTCTTTTCATAAGCAGAGAGCATTACGTTTTCTTTCATTTTGAATCGTTCTATTTACAAGTAGACATTTCAATATAGATATAGGCTATGTTTCAGGTCTGTGGAGTAGACTATACTTGTACGCTGAGTTGCGGTAGCTATATTTATGAGACAAGCTCCAGTTCACACATCGGTGCCTCGCCTTGATTATCAGTAATTGTCTGCTTTTCCTTCTTATTTATTAAATCCAGACAATTGATTGATGAAACATTAATTAAAATCAAGAAAAAAATTAAAAAAATGAAATTCACTTTAAAGAAAGGCTTTGTGTTTTTCTGTTTGAGGTCTGTGACATTTTTAAAGCAGTCTTTAAAGGGTTAGTTCACCCAAAAATGAAAATTCTGTCAGTATTTACTCACCCTCATGTTGTTCCAACCCCGTAAGACCTTCGTTCATCTTCGGAACACAAATTAAGATATTTAAGATATTAAGATCGCTCCTGCATACTAGTCCATAGGCTTCTTGAGGGAATGACTTGCTGTCCTCAAAGTCATTAAAGACATCGTTAAAATAGTCCAAGTGACTACAGGGGCTCAATATTAATTTTATCAAATGACGAGAACACTTGTGCGCAAAAAACAACAAAAATAACGACTTTATTTCAACTATTCGTTTATTTCTCCCTCTGTGCGAGTCAGGTTACTAGTTTAATAGCGTAAGCTTCTGTTATTGTACGTAGGGGTGTGCGATATGACGATTTTTAATCGTGGACGATTAAAATGTCTCCACGATCTGCTTTTGAAGAAATATCGTAGTATCGTGTTACAGTGCATTCTATCAGTTCAGTTCTGGCGCCTCCGTCTCTCAACTGTACAACGCGACGTAGCCTACACATGATCACACGTTAAGGAATAGGTACGGGACACCGCAATTCACAAAAGTTCATTATTTGCATAAGCCTTGCCGGTTAAACATTTAATTCACGCGCTGATGCGCTGTTATAACGTGCGCTTTCCTGACCGCATAACCCCCGACGCTCACAGGAACTAGATCTGTCAAACAGCGCCTGAATACTGGACTAATAAGTTCTCTCGAGTCTTATTAAGCTAATACTGTTAAATACACACAATGTTTACATAAACAGGCTATGTCTAAAGTGAAAGCAAACATTTGAGAGAATATCTGGTGTAATATGCGTCTATATTAAACGCGTTGCGTGCTGGTCTAAAAGCAACAGGAATAAATAGTAGCCTACTGCCGCTTGTCCTTAAAGGGATAGTTCACAAAAAAAAAAAAAAAAAAAAAAAAAAAAATCCGTCATTATTTACTCACTCTAATGTTGTTCCAAACCTGTATTCATTTCTTTCTTGTGCTGAACACAAAAGACAATTTTTTTTAATGTGGGTAACCAAACAGTTGCTGGTCCCCATTAACTTCCAGGAGAGAACCTATAAAAAAAACTATAAGGGGACCAGCAACTGTTCGGTTACCCAACATTATTCAAAATAACTTTTATTTTCAACAAAAGAAAGAAACTTATTCGGGTTTAAAACATCTTAAGAGAGTAAATTAAGACAATTTTCATTTTTGAGGGAACTATCCCTTTAGTGTTAATAAAAAAAAAAAAAAACAAAAAGGAGAAAATCACTCACTGACTGAGAACTTTAATATATCTTTAATAAGAATCAATTTATTCAGTGAAGTCTATGTAGTGTTTTAATTTCATATTTGTTCATTTAATTACTTCAATGCAACTGCTAAATACACCTACTGCATCTGAAAAAAATAAAGCACTATTTATTTAATATGAATATTAATTTGTGTAATGTTTATCTTGTCTTATTTTTTTAATAACAAAGAAAATAATGAAAAAGATTTTTATCTTTGCCACTGGCCTAAATGTGTGGCTTTCTTTTTTCTTTTGTTACCTAAGGCTTTGTTTTTAACATAGGGACATTAGTTTGGCTGTAATGAGCAGCCACTTGCAAAATATTAAAACCAACTTGAAAAAGAATCGTGATAAAAAATCGTGATCGTGATTTTCCTAAAAAAATCGTGATATGATATTTTTTCCATATCGCCCACCCCTAATTGTACGTCACACGCATCACACACATGACCAGCGTCGGCCAATAGTGAGCCTACGTGTGACGTAGCTTTACACAATTGCACTACGTTAACTGACTACAGGCCCATGGAGAAGGAAGTGAATAGTTGAAATAAAATCGTTATTTTTGTTTGTTTTTGAGCACAAAAAGTATTCTCGTCATTTAATAAAATTAAAATTGAGCCACTGTAGTCACTTGGACTATTTTAATGATGTCTTGAATGACTTTTCGATGCCAGCAAGAGTCATTCCCTCAAGAAGCCTATGGACTGTATGCAGGAGTGATCTTAATATCTTAAATATATTAATTTGTGTTCTGAAGATGAACGAAGGTCTTACGGGGTTGGAACAACGTAAGGGTGAGTAAATACTGACAGAATTTTCATTTTTGGGTGAACTAACCCTTTAAGTGCTTCTTCAGAGCGC